TTTTTTTTTTTTTTTTTTTTTTTTTAGTCAGTAAAGAGGATATTACCATCAATGGTAAAAAGATCGTATACCATGTTATCTAATGAGTTATCATGTGATACAGATCTGGCAGAAATATAGAAGCTAAAAAGGTTTAAAACTATTTATCCTCGAAGAATCCTGCAAATGAGTGAAATATATTACTAGTAATCAACACTGCCCTTCTTGTTAACACAATCACAGTTTTCTTGTTTTATTTTACCACATAACTAAACACGCCATCATTTGAGTTTTTTTTTTTTTTTAAGTCAACATACGGATGACACTGAAATCTTACATAAAGATATTTTAATTCAGTGAAGTGCTTAAAAAAAGTGTGGCGAAAAGATTCCTCTGAACAAAGAGCTCAGAAAAAAGGTAAACAAAGAAGGACCATGCCGTAACAAGCCTGTGGAGATGACTGAGATATGAACCACAACTCTTGCAAACCTGATTGAAATATTTGTGGTAAATTGGAATTCAGACTCCTAGTGGAAGTGGTTAATACCCAATGACTCAGACAAAAAAAGCAATTCTGTTTCTGCCAAATATAGCTCATTTACATACAAATAATTGCACGACCCAGAATAGATTTAAGTAAGATTCTTCAGACGGTCATTTTTTTTTACCTAGTTTTTGTTAAACTTGCACCCTCCAATTACCTTACCGCAGCATCATCAAAAATGTCTACTGTAGATGTATTAAGTCACATTTCAGGGGCTAGTTTCATATAAACACATATTGGTGGATGAAAACCCCTGATGTTTATGATGTCGAGTATTTTACTGGAGAGGTTTGATTTCTGATTTTTCAAGATTTCAATGCATAAAATTCAAAATTGCCGTCATCTAAAATTAATTTCATGATGATTTGGAAATTTATCAATTTTCTGGGTTTTTTTTTTTTTCTAACTTGATCAAGTTTGCATGACATAACAAAAACGGCTGTTTGAGACACAGGTGATGGTTTTTCCCACTGAAATTAAACCTGCAATATACCGAGACCTCTACAACTGAGCACCCTTGATGTCAAGGTTTTCTTTACCTTTTCAATTTTTTTTTCTCAATCAGGGGTTAACTAAGTACAAAAGGCTCAGCTGTGCTGAAGGTTTCTTTTCTTTTCCAAGTGATCATTTCTTTGAGTCATCATGGTTGTGCTGCTGCTCCCAGGGACCTGGCTGCAGCCACAGCCCCTGGAGAGAAACAGCTGCGGACGCTCCAGTCTGCAGCTTCACTACTTCACAACAATTCAGCTTTTTCATTTCCATGGACATATATGGTTTTGAAAGGTAAATGATGCAGATGGAGCATTTCTTCCTTTCTTTCTTTATCCTGTATTTTTTTTTCAAAGCTAATCACAGAGGAATAAGTTGTCAAATGATTTAGAAATATCTACACAGTACCTCTTCTTCAACAGCATGACTTTTATTATCCTCAATTACAACTATTTATAGCAAGAATAGGGGCATAAAAGCTTTACAAGTCAGACAGCTAGTGGCAATCTTTCCACAGACAGCTGAAATTTATACAGAGAAAAAAGAGGAATGCCGTTAAAATTGTCCCCTTCCTCTCCTCTATAGCCATCACCTGCCTTTACTTCAAAAGGTGCTTTAAAAACACTGTAGAACAGTGTCACCCTTCCCCCAAACATATGCACTGAAGTATAATATAGTTCCTGGTCTGGGAGCGAAAGATATTGTTCATTTGCTAGATTTCAGAGCCTCAAACAGCAGCTGGGCTTTTATCCTCCCCATGGAGGTGAAAGCGATAGTGTCGACACTATTATCTGATTCTGTATCAGGGCCAAAAAATGACCAGATCTCAAATCTAACAGCTCTGGGAAATGTATAATGCAGTACATAAGAACTTTTCTTTACACTGAGGCAGTTAATTCAGATGTCAACTTTGCCTTACATAAAAACATGTTTCCAACCAA